AGCCTTCACATATGTATCCAAAATTTACTTCCTCAGATGTCGTTCCCTACCATTCTTTCCAAAACATGAGTGCTTCCACTCCATCATTCTTGATCCCTTTACCCTGCTGCTATACACTGAATGTTTATGTCCCCAAATTCATATGTTAAAATATGACCCCCACAAAGTGATGCTATTAGGAGGTGGGGCCTATGGGAGATGATTAGATCATGAGTGCAAAGTCCTCATGAATAGAATTTGTGCTTTTATAAAAGACACTCCAGAGAGTTCCCTTGCCCCTTTTATCACATAAGGACACAGCAAAACGGTGTCATCTATGAACCAGAAAGTGGGTTCTCACTAGACATCCAATCTGCTGGCACCTTGATCTTGAACTTCCTAGACTCATGAACACTAAGAAATTGCTGTTCTTTATAAGCCTACAGTATTTTTGCTATAGCGGCCCTAATAACTAAGACACCCACAATTGCTTTTTCACAGCACTCAAATCTGAAATTATAAAATTTATTTTTAACGTTTATCACCTATCTGTCCACACTAGAATGTGAGTTCAATAAGATAAGACCTCCACTCTCTAATTCACCACTGTATCTCCAATACTCAGAACATTTCCTAACAATTTGTAAGTGTTCAATAGGTATATCTAATGAATGAATTGCCCTGAGACATACAATCAAGAGAGAATTTTCTTTGAGAGGCATGGAAAAAACAGGAAGGCAATTCTGGTGAACACTGGAAGAGGATTCTGCCTGACCTTCCCTTCCTTTAGGGTGGCAAATCTGAGGCTCTTGAGAGACTACAAATCTTGTACAAGTAGGAGGCACAGAGAACCAGCCCAGGAGCTGATTAGAGAGGCTTGTACACACCACACACAACAGAGACACACATAGGCTGGGTGCAGTGGCTCACACCTGTAATCCCAGCATTTTGGGAGGCCGAGGCAGGTGGATCACGAGGTCAGGAGATGGAGACCATCCTGGCTAACACGGTGAAACCCCATCTCTACTAAAAATACAAAAAATTAGCCGGGCGTGGTGGTGGGCGCCTGCAGTCCCAGTTACTTGGGAGGCTATGGCAGAATGGCGTGAACCTGTGAGGCAGAGCTGCAGTGAGCGGAGATCGCTCCACTGCACTCCAGCCTGGGCGACAGAGCGAGACTCTGTCTCAAAAAAACAAAATCAAAAACAACAAACAGACACACACACACATACACAAAGACATGCTGTGTTAGCCTATGTGAAAGGGAAAGTTGTATTCAAGGCAAGGACCAATAGATTAAATGTTTAAACATTCTTCTGTACAGTAAGCCAAAATATCATAAGGATAAATGTACAAATAGAATGCTGAGGAGCATCCAAAATAATATATCTATCACATTATTCTGTTAATATATATATCACATTATTCTGTTACATACATTACAGGTCATATGAGGAATCTGAAACTCTCTGAAGCCCTGCCCAAATGTAGGAAGTCATTTAGCGCTGTTCAAGATGTCTAGGATTGGTAATTCTTGACACATGAATGAATGACTGCCTCGGTTCAGCTGTTCTTTTTCTAAATCATTTTTAACAAGTACATTTAATGGCCATTACTGTTTTATTCATGTTAGGTTATCATTATTGCAGTTAACCTCACATTTACTTTGCTAGTATCCTTCTCTGAAAATGTTTGACATTTTAGTTGGTTTTGATTTGTCTTTCTGGTCACACTCCATTAATAATAACTTAAATATGAATAGTCCTTTTCAGCTTACAAAGAATTCATATTATCATTTGTACCTCTGAACAGCTTTGAGGGATAGACAGAGATTATAATTTCTATTTTATAGGTAAGAAAATTGAGGCTTAGTTAAGATAAGGGACTTGTCCAAGGTCATAGGCATGAAGAATGGCAGAGTCAAAATTTAAATACAAGTCTTTTGACTTATTTGACAGTGCTTTTGTCATATGACATGACACCCATCACTAAGCCAGCCTGGCTGGCAAAGATTCAATGTTTACATATGTTTAGATATGCTTATGTTCAAGAACACAAACACACACACACCCAGCTGTCAAACAAATAGAAATCAAAGAAAATATTAAGGAGAACTCACAATATTATTGTGCTCCACATTCCCAGAAAGAGAGGCATGAAAACCCACTATCACAATTTCTTCCCAGCAAAAATTCGCAGGTTCCTTCTTTCTCGCCAGGTGTTTGTATAAAGTTACCCAAATTTGGTGTTCTTTTTAGTGATTTGGGAGAACCATCACACCACTTTGACCACCAAAAATATCCTCAGGGACAGGAGAAAAATTAGTAGGAATAAGTAAAGCGATAAATTCTAACTAGGGCCCTTACATAAATATTCAAGTTAAAACTGAACAAAGTTTATTTAGATAAAGAGCCAGAGAAATGGCAGATGGCAGACCTAAGGAGCTGGTTTAGAGGAGAGAAAGGCCAAGCCTATGAGAGGAAATAATTCAACTGGTATTCTTCCAGGCATTTCATCTCCTTCCAGTTTTCCAGTATTTCATTAGATTGTCCTGGTTTAAAGATTGTTAAGTATAATCCAACACATCCACTGAATTGATGGAAGGGTGAAGGGCCAAACATGCTAGCTTATTATTACAGATTTTACCACAAGTCTGGGGTTCAATAACCAAATTCATTCATCCCCAAAAGTAGAATTAAGCACCAGCTTATACATTACCAGATATTACCACACATTTCTGGTATGGACTAACACTTTCAGATCTCTAGTAACTGTCTTGCAGACACTGAATGTTAGAGCTAAACAAGACTTAAGAGAACCTCCAAGTCTTATTTTAATAAATGAAGAACTTAAAGAAATCTGTTTAGATACACATAACTAGACAAGAAATAAGTACTGATCTTTGAGTGAAAAAAGCAAAAAATAGAAGTGTGTATAGTATACTGCAACTTATGTTTGAAAGGGATGTATATTATATGTGCATATCCACAGACTATCTGAAAAATATGAGGAAAAATTGTTGCTTCAAATATAAGGGATTTTAGACACTGGAGAACAGAAGTAGGAGGAAAATTTACTTTTTGCTAGATATCCTTTGCCACTCAATAACAGTTTACACATCTGTCACCCCTACTAAGAGTACAAGCTCCTTGTTGGTAAGGCCCACTGACCATATTATATTCATCTTAGTATTCCCAGATGGGCCTAGCAACTGTTTCTTCATTTTTTCAGAGGAAAAATGATTAGTTAGTATATTTAGAAAAATTGTAAAGCATTGAACTTTGTGATAGGGATTCATTTTAAGTATTTTCTTAGGTGCTTTTTATTAACCAATCTTTTTGTGGGCTGTTTACACTCTTGGCATTACCCTTGAATAGGATATTGCAAAATCAACGCACATTTTCTAAGAAGTAGAAAACTATGATCCAGAATTAAGTAAGACAAACGCAAAGAAAACAACTCCTGTGAGAATGGAAATTGAATTATTTATAGACAGAAGTTTTTTCAAAGTTTTCCAGAAGACACTTACATTAAAAATTGTGAGAAACTTGCCACTTCTCTCTCTCTCTAGCATTATGATGACATGCCCCTTAAGATTCAAATTTTCATTAAGTCCCTTAATAAAGTGTGAGCATGTAATGGGCGTATGCCCAGTGTTAGTACTACAGGGGACGGGGCTGGGCAGGCAGAATATTGAACAGACCTAAGTGTGTACCACACTGGCCCTCTAGTGTGCGTTTGCCAACAATGCACTTATCTGGCTGGCTGGTTTTAGGCCTAGGGCGTTTCCAAACAGAGGTCTTTTCAAGCTGGTTTTTATAAACAGATAAGCCCTATTTATATTAATTCTGTTTACTGCCAATTTGTAAAGAGTGCTATTAATGGGCTTAGAAACAGCATATTCTTATCAATAGTTAAACGTCTCCCTCGTATTTATACAACTAATTTGCTTCGTAAACTCCTTTCTTTCATAAAAGGACAAAGATAGACTTTAATGGTCCAATTAACCAATTTCTAAACCAATGAATTCATAGTATTTAAATACAAGAAATAAAGGTGCATAATTATGATAGTGATTTTTAAAATATTTCATACTGTCACATGAAGAAGCATTTTTCTCTCAATTCAGAAGACTTCCGCAGTCTTTGTTGCAGTTTGCTCTTTACATTTACATTTGTTTGTGACTACATCAAAGCAGCCCTCATCTGGCAGATGAAAAATCTCTACTGTAGCATAAAGCCTATAAATTATTAACTGTTTCCATTTAGAATATAATTTTGGCACTTACTAACAAAGCCTAACTTGCCACCAGTTTTGCCTCCTTTTATCAGAATGTATTCTGTTAGGATTAGATTTCATGCAAATGTAGACTGCCCAAACTAACAGTGGCTTAAAGAAGACAGAACTTCACTTCTCTCTCGGGTAAACAAAGTCCAGATTTAAGGATTGGTATGGCATCTTGTATTCAACCAGGACTGAGGTTTCTTCTAGCTTATTTTGTCATCCTCCATGCACTGCATTCACCTCATGGTCCAAGATGTGTGGTCTGTTTCCAGCAACATATCAGCAATCCAGCCAGAAGGAAGGAGGAAGGGGAAGACATGCCCACTCCTTTTTAGGATTCTTCCTGGAAGGTACACCCATGACAACTACACACAATTGGCCAGAATGGCTGAAATGGCCCTGCCTGGCTGAAATGTCTTCATTCTGGGCTGCTGTACTCCCAGGTGAAGACGGGAAAACGGGAAGAAAGGCAGAATCGATATGAGGGACAACCAGTAGTCTCTCCCATAGTCTGTGTTCCCACCAATTGCCTTTGTTTGACAGATTCCACTCTTCTCTATTTTTCATTTGTTTGTTTTCTATAGAAAGGTAGCATTTTCCTTTTCATTTGCCTTCTATCATGAAGTTCTGATGTTAAAGACTGTTTCCCTTTTATTCCCCGCTGCTATCTCTAAATAAACTTAAGTCACCTGGCCTTGCAGAGTTTCACCAAGTTGGTGCATTGGTTCCTCCCACAGGTGATGGCTGTGCTGCCTGGCCCTCTGCAGCTGCTGGGAGTGCTGCTTACCATTTCCCTGAGCTCCATCAGGCTCATTCAGGCTGGTGCCTACTATGGGATCAAGCCGCTGCCACCTCAAATTCCTCCTCAGATGCCACCACAAATTCCACAATACCAGCCCCTGGGTCAACAAGTACCTCACATGCCTTTGGCCAAAGATGGCCTTGCCATGGGCAAGGAGATGCCCCACTTGCAGTATGGCAAAGAGTATCCGCACCTACCCCAATATATGAAGGAAATTCAACCGGCGCCAAGAATGGGCAAGGAAGCAGTACCCAAGAAAGGCAAAGGTAATATCACACTCCCAGGCTGTTATAAAACAACAGCTTTCCCAACCTCTAAATTATGGGATCAGAGGGGGAAGATCTATTTGAGAAACTTTAGTTTTAGAATTTGTTATTGGCATTTTTAAAATGCCTACTGTGTTCTAAACCATATTCTTGAAAAGTTCAAACCTTAAAGATACAGATAAGATTACCATTTACATTTTGCTTTATTATTTTAAATAGCATCAGATGAAATAAAATATGTTAAATCACAAATAGTCTATCCTCTTATTATTTATTTATTCAAACATTCAGCAACTTTCTATAGGGAGCACCTATTTGTGTCAGGCTCTGGGCCAGATGCTGGGAGCTAAAGCAGTGAAAACAAAGAAAGGTGACAAGTCAGTCTTCTGAACTAAGAGAACAATGTTGTAAGGACCTGCTGTGTTAAAAGTCACATGAAAGCATTTTGCGAACAAAGTATTAGATAAGCGCAAGTGTTTTTAATACTAATCTAATTACATATGTCAATCAATAGATCAACAGAAGGAAACTAAGAGTACAGACTGCATCTAGGGATGACACCTGAAAATCTCTCCTGTTGCTTTCTTGACATATTTATTTAGCACCTACAAAATGCCCCTCAGTGTGATAGACACTGGACAATAAATTCATTTGGTTTGTCTGGAGTTCTCAGAAACCTAGCATTTGCTGCATCAGAGGAGCAATTACCTTTGAGGAAGTGGAGCCAGTCCCACTAGTCCCTACAATGGCAGGACGCTCCACCTCTGGAGAACTACTGGATTTGGAACTTAGAGGCCTAGATGCCTGGATGCTAGAAATGAAAGAGACCTATTCATTTGACCTTTCTGAGCCTATTTTTCTTCATTTGTAAAATAAGATTGTTGATACAATCAGTGACATACATGCTAAGCAAAGTGCTGAGTAAACGCTAAAGCACTCTAGGAAACTGGAGTTGCTACAACTGCTCATTCAACAAATCCTCAGTAAGAACAGAGTGTGTTCCAGGCACTGTGCTAGACACCAGGGATTCCTGATTCATCTCTCCTACTCTTCCCCAAATAACTCAATACAGTTAACTACACAATTCACTGGTTAGAAATAGCATGCCTGAATAGTACTATAATCATATCTATTCACATAAAGAATTACTGACTTTCTACTCTTTAGGAGCTCGCACTATACTTAGAAGATTATCTCAGACATTTCTTTTCCTTCCTTTATTGAATGACTTGCCTGGCCTTTGGCACTTCTTGTACTTACTCTGATGGGTACTCATATTTTAAAAGAATATGAATTCTCTGTTTGTATTTTATTCCCGGACAGTAAGTCAGTGAAAAGTACAATGGTCAGGATTAAGGTGTTACTAGTGACGTAAGCATTATGCCAAGAAGATACTGGGACCATACATTTCATTTCTCCATGTTATCCATTAGTCCCAGCAGCATGGGAGATCCAGAGTTGTGTTTATCTGAAAGGCACAGCATGTTCATTGTAACGGCATGTGCTGTGTATTTCAATAACAATTTGAGAAACAGTGACACCTTTCACATTTAATCTTGTAGTGTGGCTATCTTATTCTTATTCTTGTGTGTAGACAGGCAAGCAGAGATGCTCATGGCTTAAGGGACCCAGTCACGATCTCACGCCAAGACCAGAAAGATAAGCAGAGCTTCTTGCTCCTAAACCAAGCTCTCGACTTCATCCATACTGTTTATCATTCTAAAATATCTTACTCAGCTCTCCTACTTAAAAGCCAGATTTGCATATGAGAAAGTATTTGTTAAATTAATGAACTAATATTTGAGGCTTAGGAAATCCCATAGCACATTGAAGAAATTAAGCAAATCTACTGATTCTAAAGGTAAGATGTTACTGAACCACACACAAAATAAAATAATTCTATTCTTTCCTTTTATATTCCACATCATACTGTATTTAAGCATAAGAGGAAATATTTTGACCATAAATTATTATATTTAAAAACTTTGCCAGGCACAGAGAGAAAAATCCTGCATATTCTCACTTAAATGTGGAATCTAAAACAATCGAACTCATAGAAACCCAGAGGAGAACGGTGGTTACCAGAGGCCTTGGGGTAGGGTAGGAGGGAGAGAATAGAGAGATGATGATGAAAGGTTTAAAGCCTCAGTTAGGCAGGAGAAATAAGTTGTTTTTTGGATATCCATTGCATAGCATAGTGAGTATAGTTAATAATAATGTATTACACCCTTCAAAATCACTGACAGAGTAAATTTCAAATTTCTCACCAGATAAAAATAAGTATTTGAAGTGATAGATATATTTAGCTTGATTTAATTACTCCACATTGTATTCATGACTCATAGTATCACTTTGTGATACTATATATCTCATAGTATCACCCCATAAATAAAATACAACTATAATTTGGATAATGACTCCAATGTTGTTTAAAATACACACACACACACACACACACACAGAGAACAAATGAGATGAAAATATATATACACGTTAAGTGGTTATCTCTGAGTAGTGGGCTTATAGGCAAATTTGATTTTTCTTTATACATCTTTGAATCTTCCAAATTCACTATAATAAACACACCATAGTATCTCCAAGTTTTATACTTAGAAAAATGTTTCTTCATTACTTTTTAGCTTCTTTACTTAACCAATGCTGATACAAGCAGCTTCACGTATCAGTTATCAAAAAATACCTCAAATACATAAAAAAAAAAAATTGTCAGCTTGATTTTTCTTTCTTATTTATTTTTTTCTTTTTGGAGACGGAGTTTTGCTTTTTTGCCTAGGCTGGAGTGCAGTGGTGCAATCTCGGCTCACTGCAACCTCTGCCTCCTGGGTTCAAGTGATTCTCCTGCCTCAGCCTCCCAAGTAGCTAGGACTACAGGCACATGTCACCACACCCAGCTAATTTTTGTATTTTTAGTAGAGATGGGGTTTTGCCATGTTGGTCAAGCTGGTCTTGAACTCCTGACTTCAGGTGATGCACCTGCCTGGGCCTCCCAAAGCTGTAGGATTACAGGCATGAGCCACCATACCCAGACTGATTTTTAAGTTCTAGAAGATGAGCATATTATTCCTAATCTTTCCTCTTGATAAGTATTAGGCAAATGTGTCAGAAATAAATAATGGTTGTCAGTACTTCATTGATGCGAGAGACAATCTACTAATCAATCTCTCTCTCTCCTCCCATACCCCTTCTCTCTCTTCTCTTCCCAGTAGAAATACCATTAGCCAGTTTACGAGGGGAACAAGGTCCCCGTGGAGAGCCTGGCCCAAGAGGACCACCTGGGCCCCCTGGTTTGCCAGGTCATGGGATACCTGGAATTAAAGGAAAACCAGGGCCACAGGGATATCCAGGAGTTGGAAAGCCAGGTATGCCTGGAATGCCAGGGAAGCCAGGAGCCATGGGCATGCCTGGGGCAAAAGGAGAAATTGGACAGAAAGGGGAAATTGGGCCTATGGGGATCCCAGGACCACAAGGACCTCCAGGGCCTCATGGACTTCCTGGCATTGGGAAGCCAGGTGGGCCAGGGTTACCAGGGCAACCAGGACCAAAGGGTGATCGAGGACCCAAAGGACTACCAGGACCTCAAGGCCTTCGGGGTCCTAAAGGAGACAAGGGCTTCGGGATGCCAGGTGCACCGGGTGTAAAGGGCCCTCCAGGGATGCATGGCCCTCCCGGCCCTGTTGGACTGCCAGGAGTGGGCAAACCAGGAGTGACAGGCTTCCCTGGACCCCAGGGCCCCCTGGGAAAGCCAGGGGCTCCAGGAGAACCTGGGCCACAAGGCCCTATTGGGGTACCAGGGGTTCAAGGACCTCCTGGGATACCTGGAGTTGGAAAGCCAGGCCAGGATGGGATCCCAGGCCAGCCAGGATTTCCAGGTGGCAAAGGGGAGCAAGGACTGCCAGGGTTACCAGGACCTCCAGGCCTTCCAGGGATTGGGAAACCAGGCTTCCCAGGACCCAAAGGTGACCGGGGCATGGGAGGTGTTCCTGGGGCTCTTGGACCAAGAGGGGAGAAAGGACCAATAGGTGCCCCAGGAATAGGGGGTCCTCCAGGTGAGCCAGGCCTGCCTGGAATCCCAGGTCCTATGGGCCCTCCAGGTGCTATTGGTTTTCCTGGACTCAAAGGAGAAGGTGGGATTGTAGGGCCACAGGGGCCACCAGGTCCCAAGGGTGAGCCAGGGCTTCAAGGCTTCCCAGGAAAGCCAGGTTTCCTTGGCGAAGTAGGGCCTCCTGGCATGAGGGGTTTGCCAGGTCCCATAGGGCCCAAGGGGGAAGCTGGGCTCAAAGGTGTGCCAGGACTCCCTGGTGTTCCAGGGCTTCTCGGACCTAAGGGAGAGCCAGGAATCCCAGGGGATCAGGGTTTACAGGGCCCCCCAGGTATCCCAGGGATTGGGGGCCCTAGTGGCCCCATTGGACCACCTGGGATTCCAGGCCCCAAAGGGGAGCCTGGCCTCCCAGGGCCCCCTGGGTTCCCTGGTGTAGGGAAACCCGGAGTGGCAGGACTTCATGGCCCCCCAGGGAAGCCTGGTGCTCTTGGTCCTCAAGGCCAGCCTGGCCTTCCAGGACCCCCAGGCCCTCCAGGACCCCCAGGACCCCCAGCCTTGATGCCCCCTACACCACCACCCCAGGGAGAGTATCTGCCAGATATGGGGCTGGGAATTGATGGCGTGAAACCCCCCCATGCCTACGGGGCTAAGAAAGGCAAGAACGGAGGGCCAGCCTACGAGATGCCTGCATTTACCGCCGAGCTAACCGCACCTTTCCCACCGGTGGGGGCCCCAGTGAAGTTTGACAAACTGCTCTATAACGGCAGACAGAACTACAACCCGCAGACGGGCATCTTCACCTGTGAGGTCCCTGGTGTCTACTACTTTGCATACCACGTTCACTGCAAGGGGGGCAACGTGTGGGTTGCTCTATTCAAGAACAACGAGCCCGTGATGTACACGTATGACGAGTACAAAAAGGGCTTCCTGGACCAGGCGTCTGGGAGTGCAGTGCTGCTGCTTAGGCCCGGAGACCGGGTGTTCCTCCAGATGCCCTCAGAACAGGCTGCAGGACTGTATGCCGGGCAGTATGTCCACTCCTCCTTTTCAGGATATTTATTGTATCCCATGTAAAAAAAAAGAAAAGAAAAGAAAAGAAAGAGATTTTATAGAAGAAAAGAAAATGATGCACCAAAAAATCCAAATGAAAAACGTAATTGCTTCAAAACATTTATATAGTTGGAAAGTTATATTTAAGTGAAAATTTGGACCATCGTGTACAAATAAAAACTAAGATGCATGTTTAATACTCCACACAGCAGCCTGTAATTGAGAATGACGGGATAGATTTATGTATCAAGTACTGACACTTGGTTGTACCCACTGGAATCATATTAGCTGTTATATGTTATATGCTTCCACAATAACCTGCTTATTCAGATCAGTCAAAATATATCAGTATGAAAGATCATAGCTAATGAAAGGCACTCACTCATATTGTTTACTTTAAAATATTTATAAATATGCCTTAAAGAAATATCAACGATAACAATTACATACCGTATTTACTTGCTTAATTTCCTCTGTATTTGTGTAGATACCTTGACATGGAATGTATGGTGGGGAGACCTGCAGTGTTACCGCCCCAGTGGGAGGGGGCCCTGGGGACCCTGGTAATGCTTTAGTCAAAGGGATATCTCTCTCATATCAGAGGCTGTGTCTTTTAGTAACAGCAGTCCTCATCAGAATTGTGTGTCTGTTGTCTCTAAAAGAATGGGTGAACCAATCGGCCATTGTGAATTTACTCAGTGCCTTCTCCGTACCTAGCACTGGGTAAAACACTTTCGTGGAGCATTAGACAGTAACCCTCAAGGAGCTAGAGAGCCAGACGGGAGACATGAGCAGTAATTAACTCACCAGAGTTTCTATTTCATCTTTTTTTTTTTTCTGTGACTTATATTTCTATTTTCTTTCCTCCATGTAATTTTCACTATGGCCCAACTAATATAAACATCTGGAAATTACAAGGAAAAAAAACTCTTCCTCCAATTGAACTTTCCAAATTTGTGGAATATTTATTTGTAATAGCAGTTATCAGTTATGCTTATATAGCATTAAAAATTCTCCTCCTTTGACCACACACACAACCACAGTGTGGTTCTAATCATGGAGATATCAATAATTTTTAGTAACTGTGAATTTTGAAGACATATCTCTGTTTAGTATGTATGCAAATTGATGTATAATCTGAGGTTCCAAAGTCAATTTTTTTTTTTGAGATTCAGTCTCACTCTGTCACCCAGGCTGGAGTACAGTAGCACGATATTGGCTTACCGCAACCTCCACCTCCTGGGTTCAAGCAATTGTCCTGTCTCAGCCTCCCAAGTACTGGGACTACAGTCTTGCGCCACCATGCCTGGCTAATTTTTGCATATTTAGTAAAGATGGGTTTTCGCCATGTTGGCCAGGCTGGTCTCGAACTCCTGGCCTCAAGTGATTCACCTGCCTCAGCCTTCCAAAGTGCTGGGATTGCAGGCGTGAGCCACCGCACCCAGTCAAAGTCAATTTTCAAAATCCAAGCCATACTTTATTGGTGAGGGGGTCGTTTCAGAATTACACAGAAAAATTAATGTTTGAAAAAAATAATTCTGAAATTTTGAATTTAAAAACGGATGTGCTACTTCCGGGTATAGGAAGTAAAATTATAGGAAAAGAACTGTTTCTTTAGAAGCGGACTGTAGAAGGGCAATGTAGAATGTCAAAGGGCAACAAGAGCCCGTATTTTTAATGTCATCCTGTACTCGGCACAAATCAAAGGCCAATACAAGTCTAAAAAGGAGAAATAAATATTTTTCCAGGTTTTTGCTTGGGCACATACTAACTGCTTTGGGCATCCTAATCTGATCTCAAAACACCGAAAACCCATTTTGAGCTTGCTATTAGCCTGCTGCTGAGTCTATTAGTCACTTGGAGCAATAATGTGGGGTTATGGTGGTGGAATCTTATATCTTTTTGTCAAAAATAAAACCGTGAGTTAAGGGGATAGATATAGATGGAAAAATACACAAATAAATACGGTATGAAAACACATAGAAATGTGTCTTTGTCAAATCTGAATCATTATTACCATCACAAAAATCCTTCTCTTGGCCAATATCTCATTTCCCTATACAGTATACAAGCACCATTTCTTCTCAATTTTTAAGAAGAGAAATTAGTCCATTACCACAGGGGTTCTTAGTCACTACTAATTATACAACAATCTTTTCCCAACAAAAGATGACCTCCACAACCTTTGTTTTCAGAGCAGACAGCATTTATGTGGCCAAATATCCTTTGGGTTGTTCTTGAGGATACTGGTTTTGGGCTGATGACTATGGGGGAAACATGGATCCACTGGGCTCCTTCTGCTAAACAGCCACATTGAAATGGTTTAAAAGCAAGTCAGATGAGGTGACTTGTAAAACTGTATTTATCTGTACATGTATGGGCTTTTAATTCCCACCAAGCAAGAGAGAAATTATCTTTTTAGTTAAAACCAAATTTCACTTTTCAAAATATCTTCCAACTTATTTATTGGTTGTTACTCAATTGCCTATATATATATATGTGTGTGTGTGTGTGTGTGTGTGTGTGTGTATGCATGTGCATGTGTGTGTATGTGTATTATCAGACATAGGTTTCTAACTTTTAGACAGAAGAGGAGCAACATCTATGCCAAATACTGTGCATTCTACAATGGTGCTAATCTCAGACCTAAATGATACTCCATTTAATTTAAAAAAGAGTTTTAAATAATTATCTATGTGCCTGTATTTCCCTTTTGAGTGCTGCACAACATGTAAACATATTAGTATAAAAGCAGATGAAACAACCACATGTTCTAAAGTCTAGGGATTGTGCTATAATCCCTATTTAGTTCAAAATTAACCAGGATTCTTCCATGTGAAATGGACCAAACTCATATTATTGTTATGTAAATACAGAGTTTTAATGCAGTATGACATCCCACAGGGGAGAAGAATGTCTGTAGTGGGTGACTGGTATCAAATATTTTACAGAATACAATGAACGGTGAACAGACTGGTAACTTGTTTGAGTTTCCATGACAGATTTGAGACTTGTCAATAGCAAATCATTTCTGTATTTAAATTTTTGTACTGATTTCAAAACCATCATTAAATATCTTTAAAAGTGTGTTTCTCATCTTGCTCATATCATTCAGTTGACGCTGAACCTCACAAGCATTTTTAAATTCCTACTCTTATGAATTAGCTGCTGAAATAGAGACCTAAAATAAGCATAGCTTACATGAAACAATTTATTCCTCTTTGACATAAGAGCTCCTAGGACAAGCAGTCTAGGACTCACATGGTAGTTCCAATCAGGGCCCCAGGCTCCTTCTATCTTATTGCTCTTCTACCTCAAGGCTGTTGCCCTCATCTCCACGGTCCAGGATACTAACCATCAGTCACATTCTATCCCCAGGGAGGATGAACAAAGCAGGAAGGACAGGATACGCTTTTTGCTTTAAAGAACTCAACCTAGTAGCTGCTTGGATCACTCTCTCCCATATCCCTTGGCTCCAAATTTAGTCACATGACCACAAGAGGCTGTAAGGAAGTGTGGGAAATTGAATAGTCTATGTAACCATATGCCCAGCTAAAAATCAGGGGTTCTATTTTTAGTAGTATGGGAGAAGAGAGAATCCATATTAGGGAATAATTAGCTGCTGCATCTGCCACTTCCATTACAAAAGAAAAAATGGCCATGGACTTCTCTTTTCCCGTAAGAGACCAATCTTCAAATACTCCATTCTATTTCACTCTGCCACAAAAATAAGCCAAATATTTTGAGGGGAGATAGTGGCGAGTGGAGGTAAAGGGAAGAAGCAGACCTGTTTGAAGAGCCTAAGGGTCTTAGTAAGACCCTGAGAAGAATTATTTTGTGATGACTTACCAATCCCAGAATGATCATAACTTACCACGTCTAAAATATTACAAAGGGATTATTCAAATCATTCAATAAGCAAGTATGTACCACCAGTCTATGGCTGGTTAACTTACTTGTTTAAACCATCAGGCTACAACTTCCATTCCCATACAGCCCAGTTAGTTTGGTTTTATTTCATAGCCAAATACACTTCCCTCACAGTCATCTTATTGGCATAGAGTGTTGTCACAAAAGTGAATGGAAGAATAGATAGAGGAAATAGAGGCAGGGAAGAATAAATGGTTAGAATTTGTAATGCTGAACAGCAGGGCAAATCTATCATCACTGTTACTAAATAAAGGAAATCAAAATATATATCTTATAATGGGTGTATAGTACCCCTTTATATTAAAACAGAACACAAATAAAGTAGCCCCTACTTGGTGCCTGATACTACTAAGCAATGTGAGGCATACAAAAGGACAGAAAACATAACTCTTCTCCTTAAAAAATTATCTTCTGGGCCAGGTGTGGTGGCTCACACCTGTAATCCCAGCACTTTAGGAGGCTTAGGCGGGCAGATCACGAGGTCAAGAGATCGAGACCATCCTGGCCAACCTGGTGAAACCCTGTCTCTATTAAAAATACAAAAATTAGCTGGGGGTGGTGGCACGCGCCTGTAATCCCAGTTACTCAGGAGGCTGAGGCAGGAGAATCGCTTGAACCCAGGAGGCAGAGGTTGCAGTGAGCCGAGATTGTGCCACTGCACTCTAGCCTGGCACCAGAGCAAGACTGTGTTAAAAAAAAAAAAAAAATTATCTTCTGCTTGGAGGATATCAAGATGTTTGTTAAACAGTAAATTGATTTCCAAGAGCGGAGCCTGCACAGAGCAGGTGTTGTTGACCGGATTCATACGTGCTAGAGAAATTCAGAAAGAGAAAGACAGTTCCATGCTGCCCTCTTCCTGGGAATACCTTCTCTGACCTGTCTGCTGGGTAAACTCCTCACCCTTCAGGGTCATTTTCTCCCCCACATCACCAACCTGCCTCACTCATGCCTCTGTGCTTTCACTTTTTCTGCTTTGTAACTGAACCACTTGTCATCTTCCCTAGTACAGTATAAGCTTCTGTGAGCAGGCTAGTTCTTTCATTTTTTCATCCACAGCCCATCATCGAGTAGTGGTCTAATACCAGGATGAGGAAAGAATGAATCCCTGAAGAATGCTGTGGGGTGAGGGGTGGGGGCAGGGAGTCCTAAACTGGATGTGAGTTTAGACCAAATGGCAGGAAACTCTCTTCTAGCTCACGTATTCAAGATTATGTAGAAGCTAACTGTGGGATAAAAATTTCAGATTGTTGGAGAGGTGATTTTTAAAGATATGTAGAATTTGGAGGGAGGGATCATGAAAATATCCCAAGAGAAACAGCTTCTCCTCCTCTAATCGAGAGGAGAAAACTAAGTGTGTATGTGTATGTGTCTTGAGTGGCAGGCAGAAAGGAAGTTGAGCTCAGGGAAATGGTCTGATTAGATCAGAGCATCTACCCAAGGACTAGTAAAGGAAATTAATTTAATAACTAAAGGAAGGTCAGTCAAGTGACACAGCGCTTCACATACAGGGAAGAGACATTTCTATTTTTAATATGCAATAAGACCCAGTAGGTCTTTAAGTGGGAAAATGGTATAAAAATAGGTATTTTAGAAAAATTATTTTGATGACGCTATGAAGCTGACACTGAAGAAGGCAGGTTACATGTATTAAAACCAATTATGGGACCAGACCATCTTTTATGCAGAAATGAAATATTGGGTGATGGTGAAGGACTCTAAATAGACCTTGCAAGTGAGGAGGTAGAAGAAGGTAGGTTCAGGTGTCAGGGTTTAAGGGCTGCAGGACAATGAAGCTGTTTCAGGGCCTCAGAACTGGGATGATGAAGAATGGAAAAACTGAAGAGCTAGCTGAAAGACTGAATTGAACTTGGGGACAATACTAGATGGCCTTATAAGACAGAAGGAAGCTTGGCCCCAAAAGAAGGAAACTTGGCCCCAAATGGCAGTTTCCTCCCATTGACAAACTTGGAAAATAGGGATGGTGCCATCAACAGAAGTGGGTAGGCCATTAGTAGAACCCATGCCAGGCAGGATACAGGGGAAGACACCCAGTTTGCTTATAGACTTGTTGAATCTGACCTGATGGTGGGTTTTTTAATTTGCTAGGGCCACCATTCATGAAGTGCCACACACTGGGTAGGCTTAAATAACATACTTTATCACAGTCCTGGGGCTAGAAGTTCAAGATCAAGGTGTCAGCAGGGTTGGTTTCTTCTGAGGCCTCTCTCTTTGGCTCACAGATGGTCATCATTTATCTATGTCTTCACATAATCTTCCTCCTATCTGTGTCCTAATTTCTGCTTTTTATAAAGACATCAGTCATACTGGATTAGGGTTTACCTTTGTGACCTCCTCTTAACTTAATTACTTAAAGGCCCTATTTCCATATATGTCACATTCTGAGGTCCTGAGGTCCTGCAGATTAGGACTTCAACATGTGCATTCTGGGGGACACAATTCTGTCGGTAACAGTGGAAGATGCCTGTGCTCCAAAGATGTGTTCTTGGCAGGAAGATGAAAGGTAGAACTGTGAGTCTGCGGAGAGGTCTCGTGGCCTCTTGTAATAAGAGGGAGAAAAAAGACTAACCTGTAATTAGTAACACCATTTGCAGAACAAAATAAATTGCTTTACAATTTCCTCCTTTATGTACTGCAAGAAGTTAGTTTAACACATCATTTCATCAAAGATACAGCAAAGATAAACATCATCCAAATACATATGAAATTACAAGGCATTCCAAACATACAGAGCCAACAAAGAGTTGAAACGAATCATGTCTTATTATATTTTGGGAGTTTCTCCCCTTAATGGTTCTTGTGACCATTAAAATGCAAATGTTCATGCTCATTCCATATCCTGAATAACAAAAATATCTCTGAAGTAGCCTTAGGATTATCTTTTAACAGAGAGTTGCACAGAATTTTGGATATTTTCTTTCATTTTACAGAACCAATACTTCTGTCTAGACAAATTTCATTCTCAAACAACTTATTCTTTATGAGTCAAAATCATCTAATAATGTGTCTTATTATTAGAAAAAAAATTTTTTTTGCTAATTCCTAAGGATACATGTAATGGAATTTAAATCAAAGTGGGACATATCATCTCACTTTTACAAGTTATTCAGAAGCTTCTTGTGTGTGTTACTGAAACACTGGACCATCTAATCAAATTTTCCTTAGACACATCCAGAACCTTTCCAGAAACTTTTTGCTTTGCTATCTTACTGTAAGTAAAAATAGATTTGTATTAGAATCAAAGACACTTCTAAATTAAAGTTTATAAATCTTGAGGACATCTACATTTCACATGGCTTATTAAAACCATCACAACCTAAAAATTAATTTTGTAATAAGCACAGCCAAGTCAGTTCTCATCTGACAAGTGAGTGGCTGGCAGCAATTTTCACATCTGCTCTTCATTCGTGGGATGAGAGACACAGGGGAAAAGCTGATGTAACACTGACGACTCTCCACTTGCATACTACTACTAATAGTCATCTTTCCTCAGCAAAGATGATGCTGTCCTTGCTATTTATTCTGCCAAACAAGACTCAAAATTAAAAAAAAAAATGTTAGGAGAGGGTTCTAGGGCCAAACCAAAAGAGAACAAATCTCAGCGCCTCTGTTCACCAGCTATGATACCTTGAGCCAATTACTTAACCTCTTTAAACTTCAATTTTTGCATTTATAAGATAGTAAATGATAACACTGAGTATCTTCTACAATAGTTGGAAAGGGAGGTGAAGTACTAGGGTGTGGTATGGAGGGTGTATTAGTCCATTCTCTCACTGCTACAAAGAAATACCTGTGACTGGGTAATTTATTTATGTATTTATGTATTTATGTATTTATTTATTTATTTATTTTTGAGACAGGGTCTCACTCTGTTGCCCTGGCTGAGGTACACTAGTGCAATTATAACTCACTGCAGCCTCGAACTCCTGGGCTCAAGCAATCCTCCTGCCTCAGCCTCCCAAGTAGCTGGGACTACAGGCACATACCATCATGCCTGGCTAGAGACTGGGTAATTTATAGACAAAAGTTTAATTGACTCACAGTTCCACAGGCTGTACAGGAAGCATGGCAGCATTTGCTTCTGGTGAGGCCTCAGGAAGCTTTTACTCATGGTGGAAGGCAAAAGTCAGAGCAGGCAT